AACTGAGTGAATATGTGATTCATAGTGGCCTGAAATGTGGATGGGGCATTGGAAAGCCCAAAAGGCATCACTAGGAATTCGAAATGGCCATTATGGGTTCGAAAAGCTGTTTTAGGCACATCCTCGGGTGCCATCTTGATCTGATGATAGCCAGATCGTAAATCCAGTTTTGAAAAAATATGAGCCCCATGTAGTTCATCAAGTAACTCATCAACGGTGGGTATAGGGAATTTATCAGGGATAGTGATGGCATTTAGGGCACGATAATCAACATAAAAGCGCCATGTACCATCTTTCTTTCGAACCAATAGGACGGGTGAGCTGAAAGGAGATTGGCTGGGTTGAATAATCCCAGTGGCTAACATGTCATTCACCATGCGCTCAATCTCAGATTTCTGGAAATGTGGATAGCGGTAAGGGTGGACTTGCACAGGCTTAGAATTGGGAAGGAGGTGAATATGATGGTTGAAAATTCTATCTGGAGGTAACGACGTAGGTGAGGGGAAAATATCATGAAACTGGGTTAGGATACGCTGGATGGAGGGAGGTGTTTGGGTGGAAGGTGAAAGGGATGGTTGAGTAGTGGTGTCACTTGTAAGACACATAAAATAGGAGGAAATGGAATCCTGGCTAACGCGTTTGTGGAGTTGGGCTTGTGAGATTTGCGTAAGTGGGGTAGTAGCAGCGCCCTGTAATGTGATGGAGGAATCCAAATGGTTGAAGGTCATGGTCAATTGGGAATAGTCGGTAATAATTAGGCCAAGAGTAGCCAGCCATTGGATACCCAAAACAACATATGCCCCTCTAAGATCCAGAACAAATAGGTCCACCAGGAATGTGGTGTTTTGAAGCACCAGTGGTGTAGCAAGGCACGAGGCTGTGCAAGAAAGAGCATCACCATTTCCAACCTGCACTTGGAATGGATTAATATGTTGCATAGCTAAACCAATAAAAGAAGCCATACGAGCAGTAATAAAATTATGAGTACTGCCGCCGTCAACAAAAACCTGAACAATTTTACCATGCACCGAGCCTTCCAAGCGGAAAGAGCGTGCACTCCTGTGGCCAAATAATGCGTTAAAGCTGATTTCAGGAGTCACATTAGTAGTGATAGTGTCCGCATCACTGTCAGGTATGGCAAGCTCCTGATCCTCGTCAGTTCCTTCGAAGTAAAGTAACGAAGGACGACCTTTACATTTGTGGCCGAATGAGTATATTTCGTCACAATTATAACATAAGTTTTGCTCCCGCTTGAGTTGCCTTTCAGCTTGGGAGAGGCGTCGAATGGGTATAGCAGGGATAGGAGCAGAGGCACTGGGATGCTGGAGGCTGTTGGAAGTAGTGAGAGTGGTTGGTTTAGTAAGAGAATGCCAAGGACGTGGGGTACGGACCTCCCCAGCCTGATCTTCGTATACCCTAGCCAAAGAAAATGCTTCGTGGTAATCAGACGGTCTGTTGGTTAGCACAGAACGCCGAATATGTGCTTTGAGACCTGAGATAAAAATGCTGTGAAGTAAGGTGGCTGAGAGGCCAGGTACCTTGCTCACTAATTTTTCAAATGAAGCCTGATAATCCAAAACAGATCTGGTTTGTTGGATCTTGGCTAAGGCACCAGCTGGGTCGTCAAATTCGGACGGGCCAAACCGACGATGAAGAGCTACACAGAACGTTCGCCAATCGATCATCAGACCATTATGATCGGAACTGTGAAACCAACTGGCGGCGGGTTCATCTAAGTGAAAGGCCGCGTGATTCAAACGATCAGCCAAAGGAACTTGGTAAAACGTGAAGTAACGTTCTACCGCAATTATCCAAGTAGTAGGATCTCCAGTGGAAAAGCGAGGTAAATTGAGTTTCACCTGGCGAGATCTAGAACCGTCAGCACCGGAAGCAGCACCAACGCTAGGTCTTGAGCCCAAAATCCCACGGATATGGGAATTCCCCGTCGAGTTCTGTTGTTGTAGTTCTATCAAACGATTGAGGTCCTGATGAAAACGTGTTTGGGAGTCCTGGATTTCCTGCTGAGATTCATGGAGTAGGGTCTGTGATTCCTGTAACGCCCGGTGCTGTTGTTCACGAACCAACTCAGCAGCTTGGAATTGCTGTTCAAGCGTTTCAAGGCGATGGTGCATGTCACGGGAACGAGTGTTGTCGGCCATCAGCTGGAAGGAAGAGATCGATGAAAGCACCAAATTGTAGGAGGTTAGATCTAAAATTAACAGAAAGAGAGAAACCAGAGAAAGATAGAGAGAGGGTAGAGATTTGCAAGAGGAGAGAGAGATTGTCCAAACTTTCAATATCTTCACGCCCCTCGTGGGCTATTTAACTACTTTTCTAACAATATCTTTTCCTTACGTCAGTTTATTAATTACAACCATTGATAATTACATAAACTGACTAATACATCTTTTATTTACTTATTGAAAATAATCCTGCAAATATGCAGGCTTCTTGGTATTGTGAGTGGGCCTCGTTCCACTGAGCCCATTGGGTTGAGGTGCAACATGCTGTCAATATCAATAGAATGCCTGATTTAATTGGTAATTTATCTTAATAAATTTACAATCTTAATTTTATAAGGAAGTATTTCAAAGATTAGTATAGTTGATTTGGTTCTCTATCCAAGGAGATAACTTTGATGTTTGCTATAGGTTAAAAAAATAGCAACAGAGCCCTTTCTTTAGTATCTTTATTGCCATTTCGGTTGTGATCAAGTCTATTTTTCTTCCATTTTTTATTGTCATGCAGAAATCGTATTTCAAGTATCATCAGAACTTCATTAATTGCTTTTTTTTTTTTTTTTTTTTTTATAGAAATTGTATTTCATGGTAATTAGGAAATGGATGCATTCCTCTAATACTTTCATTTTTTTCCCGTACAGTAATCAATTATATGGTGAGATAACAGATTTATCCATGCATGATTTATTTCATACTTTTATTTACAAATTATTTATCGTTTATCTTCAACAGCAGCAACGATCAAAATTAATGGGTTTTTATCACTTTTGCAAGTGCAGGTTGGACGATCTTTATTATTTATTACCTTGATGTCATTATTCTCTTTTATTTTATTTATCACAATGTTGATTTGATGTTGTTTATACACATTGGAATTACTGTGAGCAGTAAATCTAACTCATCTATAGGGAGGTGGTCATCAACACAATTATTATCAAATGTTTGTTCAATAAATATTTGACAGTGATTAAGATTTAAAAAATCAGCTGTAATTGTCAACTACCTTTTTCCTGAAAGAACAAAAAAATAACTTTGCCACTTATAAAGTGTTTGATTATAATTTGTATATAACACATGATACAACTATATTTTTGTGTCTACAAAATTTTATTTAATAAAATTTATTTAAATCTTGTTTTAACTTTTACGTAAAAACACAAACTCATTTGAGAAAATACAAATACTATTTTTGAAAACACACGTTAAGACAGACACCACTCTTCAGAAAGATCCAACAATCCAACAAACGGGTCCAAATGATCCAACCCGAGATCCAGAAGAAAAAAATTAATATTTATTTTAATAAATAATTACGAATATATAAACTATTTACGAACTTACTGCACTCATTCACGTCCAAATTGGGCGTGACCATTCACGCCTAAGTTAGACGTGACTCATCTGGTGTTGACACGTTCCACAAAAAAGTCAACTTACAAACCGTAAAATTTTGGAAGACCATAACTTTTGACTGAGGTATCCGAATCAGATAAAAAAATTTGATTCCACATAACTTTTCGAGATCCACGCAATGACACCTCATTTGGCATATTTTATCTCTCACAAACACAATTTGAATTTGCAAGAATGGTATAATATAAGCGTTAAACCCAAAAGTCTCTCACTTCATTTCGAACCAACAACAAATACAATCTTCTTTTTATAAATCTTGAAATTGTAGAAAATATAACAAAAAACAAACATCTAACTTTGTTAATATTGGAAAGTAAAAAATTAAATAACTTCATTCACAAAGATAATAACTGTTTGTGATTTAAATTAAAAAAAAATTATAATTAATAAAGAAAAGAAAATTAAGATTAGATTTGTGATTTAAACTCAAAAATCAATCTGAAAAAATCTGTATTAATAAAGGAAATAATTAAATAAATATTCTAAATCTGTAAGGAAGAAATATTCTAAATAAAGATTCCAACGAATCCAGCCATAAAGACACAGCCATTGCACCGACACCGACACAGACACGAGATATGACACGACACACCGACACGTTAATTCTAAAAAATGTTAAATTTCGACACGTTAGAACACATTTTGATATTATATAATATTATATTTAGTATATTATATTTAGTATTCAATAATTTAACAAAAAAATAAAGTTAAACTTATAATACTCATCAATTTTGCAAAAAAAACATAAAATATTCCAAATATTTATATTAAATTTAATACAAAGATAATCACAATATAAAGAATCTAACAGTTAGAACTCAAAATGCAACACAACGTAACATTTGAACCTTTTTTGAGTCTTTGCAACGAGTATTGGAGTGTCAGGAAGTCTCGGAAAGTGTCGGATACGACACGTCAGTATTTTTGAAGTGTCGGTGCTTCATAGTAGAGTACTATTGTTGCAAATTCGAACCGTGTTTGTGAGAGATAAAATATGTCAAATAAGGTATCATTGCGTAGATTTCAAAAAGTTAAATGAAGTCAAAAAAAAAAATTACCTGATTCCAATATCCGAGTCAAAAGTTATGGCCTTCCGAAGTTTTACAATTAAGCTGTTAACTTTTTGTGCCACATGTCAACACCAGACGAGTCATGCTTAAATTAAGCGTGAAAGCCTTGACTCACGCCTAACTTAGACCTTAGACGTGAATGGTCCTGTCCAATTTGGACGTAAATAAATGCAATAAATTCATAAATAATTTCAAAACAATTATATATTAGTAATTATTTATTAACATAGCAATATTTTATTTTTATTTTATTTTTTCCCAGATCCAGATATTACAACAAGTTTAACGCTCGAGACTCACCGTACATAACCGTAAAGCTTTCTCTTTCTCTCTCTCGGAGGAACTCTCAGAAACCATCGTCGTCGCCACCATCACCGCCATGGAAGGAGGCGGAGGAACGCTCTCGGAGGTTCACCAAAATGCGAAGAAGCTCTTGTTTAGGTCCCGCGCCAACCTCGAGCGCCTCGAGGGTCCCGCAACCGCCGCCGCCTCCGTTGCCGGTGCCGACTCTGAGCTCGCGTTCGCCGTCAAGAAGGACATCACTCAGATCCAATCCCTCTGCGTCGAGATGGACCGCCTCTGGCGATCCGTCGCCGCCAAACCTCAGCGCGATCTCTGGAAAAGGTGAACGAATTAGCCTTTTTGCGTTGATCTTCTAATCGTGACGATTCGAATCTCGATCTTATTCAATCGGTTGTTTCTCTGAGGGTGATTATTTGTTTGTGAACGTTTTTTCTGTGTATTGTTATGCGTTGTGGTTTATAGAATGTGTTTCTGCAAAGAAATGTCGAATTTAGACAGAATCTGATTTTTGAAATGTTGTAGAAGGTTTGCATGCTGCTGTTATAATGCAATTTGTTCATATTGTTTGGAATATGGAGCAGTAAAACATGGGGGACTGTTGATTATCGATGATTTGCAATGTAATGTCTTAAGTGTGTTTTATGAGAAATTTGGTTCATACTGCAGTTGATTACTTTCGTTGACGAACAGAGGTAAATGTGCATTTCATGTGAGGGGGTTTGGGGTGAATTTTATTTCCTGCTGCTCCATTTCTTTTTTGGAAGTGCTTTTTTAGCAATGCTTTTCTATTGTCTAGTTTCTTTGATCGATTCTTATGGTGGATTTCAGAAATTCGTGTGGCATATTAGATATTATGTGAATGTGACATTTATAGGCTGATCTATTATCATAAATTTTCCTCTCAGACTCAGTATACACAAAGCTAGATATTGCATATGCTAACTGAGATGCATATTGTCTGGGCTGTATCATAAGTCTTAATTATCGAGTAGCTAGTTTCACTTCTTCGTAGTTTACAAGGAAAAGTACCTTTGTGGAACGGGAAACCATTAGTTTGAATATTGATTCAGTTATATGCTATTGGGGTTCACATTCCGGCCACCACGACCCCGGCCATGGCCACCATGCCAGCCACCATGTGGGAAACCTCCATGATGAGCTGCATTCTGAGTTGTATAGTCCTGCGAGGTAGTCGGAATGTCGCAGAATTGGGACTCAAGATTTCTGTGTTACATTAACATAGGGTAAAAGTGAGCTTGCTTTGTGCAAGGAGTTGGGACTCAAAAAAGTCAAATTTCGCAGAATTTTCTTGTTTAGGAAAATACGTGATAAATGGTGCATAATTTTCTGGAAGACCGTCAAGCGCCATCTCTAATTGTTCAGTATCTGAAATCGGATCTCCTATGGCTGTTAGAGTATCAACTAAAGCCTTGATGCGAGAAAGAAATTCCTCTATGCTCCGATCTCCCTTCTTAATGTTTTTGATAAGAACCTTGGAATGCACCGCAACAAAAGCTAGCTCAAAGGGTGGGAGTGCCCAAGGCCTTATAAACCACACATTAGTTGCCCATACAACCAATGTGGGACTTTAAGTCTCACACCTTGCAAATGGGATCGTAACGTTCCACCACACTTCGTAGCCCTGGCGCCCACACGGGCTGGCTTTGCGCTAGTCTTTTTACTAGCCCTGGACGAACACTGCAATGTCAGTGTCACCAGCCGCACCGCTCGATTGCAACCGGGAGACATAGTGGAAGACTCTGATACCATTTGATAAAAACCTTGGGATACACCACCCCAAAAGCTAGCTCAAAGGATGGGAGTACCCAAGGTCTTATAAACCCCACATTAGTTGCCCATACAACCAATGTGGGACTCCAAGTCCCATACCTTGCAAATGGGTCATAACATTCCACCACGCTCCGCAGCCCTGGCGCCCACGCGGGCTGTTATTGCGCTAGTCTTTACTAGCCCTGAGCGAACACTACAATATCGGCGTCACCAGCCGCACCGCTCGATTGCAACCGGTTGACATAGTGGAAGGCTCTAATACCATTTGATAAGAACCTTGGGATGCACCGCCCCAAATGCTAGCTTAAAGGGTGGGAGTGCCCAAGGCCTTATAAACCCCACATTAGTTGCCCATACAACCAATGTGGGACTTTAAGTCCCATACCTTGCAAATGGGATCGTAACAGTTTCTTAATTCAAATCATACTTGACTTGCTTTAGCTTTGGTCACAGAACTGAAATAGCGATGTATTTTGTCCCAAGCCTGATGTGACTGGCGAACACCAAGCATCTTGGACACAATTTCTGCAGGAATTGTAGATTGAAGCCTAGTAAGCAACATCTTGTCAGTTCGCTCCCATTCAACAAATGTTGGATTGACTTTCTCGAGAAGACGATCTTCTTCGTTGAGGAAACACAACAAAATTTTCGGATTTATCAAGTATTTCTCAAGTTGATGAGCTATTATGGGAGGTTCTATGAATTGCTTCCATAGGAGAAATTTTTTGCTAGTCAGTTTGACTGAAAGTTGAGTATTAAAAATGAGAAAAGTTTTTGGATCAGCAGAGGTGATTGAAGCTGCATCTACGATATTTGTAGAAGCGGAAGTCATGAATGGTTTGATAACTGATGTATCAGGCCCTAAGATTGGGCTCTAATACCATCAACGTAAATTTAGCGAGTTTACATATGCTATCAATTGGGACTTGTCAATTGTCAATCTATCATTCTGTTCCAACCATGTTCATAAGCAATATGAACATCTACATAATTTGTTTTTCTCCTTGTTGCAACACTAAACACCTATTTCCATTCCTCTAAATAAATAAGACAGGAACATGTTATAATATATAATATATATATATATATGGGTCAGGATCATTTTACACCAGTGTAAGTTACACTATCAATCATGTCCGCTAATCCCACTTATATTTAAGGGCTCAAATATTTTTGTAATGTGAGCCATTAGATACAAGTGGATCAATGGTCAAGATTGAGTGTAAAACTTCTAACTCTTACACCGGTGTAAGAATATCCTGCCCCTATATATATATATATAATTTCATCCTTTCCCCCTGGTTGAAAACTAAATCATATTCCACTTTAGGTCACATTTAATTCTAATCAGTGAAAGCTTTATAGCACCACACTGTCCTTGTTTACCATTGAAATCTCATTCTTTTGAACTATAATTCATTTACCAATTCATTTCCTTCAACTTTGCCAAAGTAATATTTTTTAAAGCTGAGGTTAATATCTATAATGGACAGGTTCTCAAAATCTGTTATATGTCATCATCTCACTTATTTGTTTTAATTATTTCATCTAAAATCTTTGCACAGAAAACTTTATGCTATTTATTAATTTCTGTTAAACTAGAAATCTATATCTTTATTCATTTCTTCATCTGTTTATAATTATATTATATGTTATATCTCTTGCAGTTTTCTAGTTGATAGCATCGTCATGAATGGTTATTATGTTCTTGTGCAGAAAAGTTGAACAAATAGCTGAAGAGGCTGAATTGCTAAGAGAGAGTTTGGAAAAATATAACTCAAGAAATCAGACACGGATGAGAGAAGCTAGAGAGAGAGCAGAACTGCTGGGACGAGCTGTATGTCATTGCTGTCATGCTCTAGTTTATTGGCTCACTGTTTCTTTCCATTTTTTTCTGGCTAATAACGACTTCATTTCAAATTTTGCTAGAATGGGGATTCTGCTCATGTTTTGAGAATTTTTGACGAGGAAGCACAAGCAGAGCAGTCAGTTCGTAGTTCTGCTAGGGAGCTGGAAAATGCTAATGCAATTGGGGTGGCCATCCTTTCTTCAATTCATGGCCAAAGGGAACGCTTGAAGGTATTCTCCCTTCAGCCTTTTCATTTGTCGACAAATAATTTGCATGTTGATATATATTATATTTGGTTTTTAGCTATAATCATCTCTTTTTGGTTGTGGATAGTGGATTATATATTATATTTGTTTTTTGGGCTAAAGAAGTAGCTTCTTTACCAAGCAAATTCAGATGGTAATTGCTTAAATAACTGCTGTTCAGCAGGCCATCAGTTGTTAGACTTTATCTTACAAAATCTCATTGTCACTATTTCTCTCTTGGTCTTTTTACTCTCTTTTCTGTTGCAAATGTTAACCTCTTAAATATTTAATCCTTTTCTGTATCCTTTTTCCTTTAAATTTGTAGAATTCCTGCTACTTGCATATTGATTTAGGGGTAATTTTGGAATCCTAATCAGTTACTTGCACATGAACAATCCATTTTAGGCAATACTATGAACGTGTTCTTAGTAATTACATAATTTCCTTTATACTTCTAACTCATTTGTTGAGCATTTGCATCAATATTAATTGGTTTTGACACTTTTAATTGTAGTTTTTAGTTTCATTGAAAACAAAATGTAGTTCCTTTTTGTATTTTTGGATTTCCGCATTTTAAATTAGGAACTAACTTTTGCAACATGAGATAAGATTATCTCCTGAAATCCCAAAACGACATTTTTATGGGGTTTGGGAAAAAAAATGCTGGATATTTTAGTAAAATTTATTATACAAGAGGAAAATAATAACCTTTATTTTTATTTTTTTCCTTAAACCCAAAAACGATGATTTTGAGTTTGCTAGAGATAACTTAATCTTCTGTCAAAGGAGAAACAATTTTCCTTTTAAACTATGATATCATCTGAATTTTTTTACTTTTTATTTTTGAAAAAAATCATTTAGATAGTTTTAACTTTTAAGAATGTTTATTAATTAGTGATGCATTGTCAATCCAGTCAAATTGTTGCTTATATGCTTTTTATCTGACTTACGTCTTGGTACAGAGTGCACATCGTAAAGCCCTGGACGTCCTCAATACAGTGGGGATATCAAATTCTGTTCTGAGGCTAATTGAGAGACGGAACCGTGTAGACCAATGGATCAAATATGCAGGAATGCTTTTGACTGTCATTTTCTTGTTTGCCTTTGTTTTGTGGAGGCATTGACCATAGATGTTGAAAATCTGATATTACCCAAGTTTCTGTGAGAAGCATGTAAAAGTGTGATACAAAGTCTATCTGGCTGTGCTGCAAAACAAAGGAAAACTTGTGCACCCTACGATAACAAACAGAAGGCTAGAAACATATATGTCTAGGTTACTTTTGATTTGTAATATTTGTTTTTATTTTCCATATTAAAATTTCATACCCAAGGGATGCTGATACAATCAGTACTGATATTTTGTAAGTGTTGAGGATGATTAGTATGTCCCGTTATATAAATTGGGAGAATTACCAGACCAAAACCTAGACAACATCTACCATTGGGAAACAAGTAAAACAAGTAAATCCAGTTATCTGAATTAATTAGTGAATTCTCTTTTTCTTTTTTGCAATAAAAAGAAAAGGGCATTGGCTGACAATGTATACTCTAGTTCTGTGATCCTAAATAAAGTCTGAAAAATTTCGATGGGCCTTACAAACCAATCTTGGTCTTTTGCCTCTCTCTCTCTTCATGGCCATGTGAAAAGCTCACATGACGACTCATTTACATGTTTTGCTCAATAATACAAAGGGTAATCTTCTGGCTGATTTATGTTATAGATTTCCTAGTCCAATAAAACTTTCCTCTCAAGTACAACACGGTTTCTAAAAAGTCCAGCAATATCCTCAGTTAGGTATTTGATACATTCAGGAGGAGGGACATCAAGAACATGAACTCCAGGCTCAGTACTATGCGCATAGTTAGCCAACCAGTCAGCAACTTGGTTCCCTTCACGATAACAATGTGAAATTCGAACCGTCCAGTTTTCTCTCATCAACTCATGTATGGACTGGATTACAGAGTCACAAGGAGTATCATTCAATACATTACTACTATCATTAGAAAACTTCACTGCAAAAGCTGAATCAGACTCAATCCACAGCTGCGAGATACCCTTCTCCCTAGCAAGTTTGAGGGCAGTGAGAATACCACACAGCTCAGTCATTAAAGTAGACCGATGAATCTTCTCATCTGGAAAAACACTGAAAATGACAAAAGAAGTGGGAGGTTGTCACACCTAATAAAAGATGCAAGCTTTTCTAGAATGAAAGAAGCACTAGAGAATATTTGCTATATATCACTATGTATGAGTTCTAACAGAATCCAGTTTCACAATTTAAGAAAAATTGGTATTACCCAGAGAAATAAGCTCCAAGGTTTTGCACAAAGCCGAATTTCCAAGAACCTGTGGAATCACGAAAAACTCCTCCACAGCCAGGAAGACGCCCCTCTTCCTTACAGGATCCATCTACATTAGCTTTCATCCATCCCACCTCAGGAAAGGTCCACCCCACCGCAACCTTTTGATAGTGACTCACTGTTAATTGCCCATTAACATACAATTAGAATTACACCTTCAACAAATACTGAAAAAAACATATGTAAAAAAAGATATACTTATTCACCCCATACCTGTTGGAGACTTCTGACTATTTGAGTCACTTGGATTTTCTGTGCACTTGGATGCAGATATGCTATCTTCAGAAGAAGGAACATCAGTCATGGATGTATCATGATTTATAAGCTCTGTATGAGATTCTTCTGGATTCTTAGCTTTATGCTTTGTAGGGATTAAGCAAGCTGAACCAATTGCAATGTTATGATTTTTTGGATCACATGGATTTTCTATGCCCTTGGATGTGGATATGCTAATTCCAGACGAAGGCAGTGTGTCGTGATTTATAAGCCCTGTACAGGATCCATCTGGAATCATATCATTCTCCTCTGTTGGGATTGAGCAAGCGAAACATATTGGAGCTTTCTGATTACTTTGGACACTTGGATTTACAATGGCCTTAGATGAAGATAAACTAACATTAGATGAAAGATTGGTCTCAGATGCATCTTGATTTATAAGCCGGGATCCTTCTGGATTCTTACCAACCTGCTCTGTCCATTTTGCTTGCTTGCCTAATTTGAATGCATTTGCACCAGTAGCCAGTGTGTCAGCATCATCTGATGTCTGTAGTATGCCAGAGAGCCCATCACAAGATAGAATGCAAGCTAAGGCATCCATAGTGGCGCCTAGAGTGGGAGGAAGACCGCCCGTTGAACGTGTCACCTGAAAACATAAACATGTCAAGAAGATTGAGAGAAAAGGAATGAGGTAGTTACAAGCTCATCAAAAAAGTGGAGTCTGTCAAGGAAAAATCAAGAAATATTGGTTTACTTTGTATGAAATTGCTGCTGATAATCGCTCTCTCAAGTTGTACATATGAGAAACATCAAGTGCTGTTGACTCAAAATTAAGCCACCTGTCTATGATTACTCTAACTATATTATCAGAAGACATAAACTTATCTCCTGCTTTACAATCCTTTGCTGGAGCAACAACAATATCTCTGGAAAACAGTAATAACGGAAGTAGTCCGACAACGGTATAGTTCCTTATGCTCATACCCTCGTCACCGCGAGTAATCTCATCATATACTACTAAAGAGCAATCAAATCTTTTCTGAGATAACAGCTTAAAATTTGGGGATTGACAATCCAAGCAAACTTTATCACCACTTTCAGTTTTAACAAAAACGTTTTTCACATTTCTATTATCTACACACAATTTCCCAACCATTGGATACCTCCATGCTACTAAAGCGGCATGGAGTATACCCAGGTCATGGGCATTCAAGGAATAACATGAAACATCGTCACGGATAAGCCCATTTTGAAATAGTACTGTTGCTAGTTTCTTACGCATGGCAGATACCATGTGCATAGTGTTTTGACAGACAAAGTACTGAGAACAAAACCGTGCTTCTAGACCCATTCTGCTTGAATTTTGCCAGCATTCAAATGCTGCTATTACAGCAAACTGGTGACTACAACCCCCATACAAGGAAGCAAGTTCAGATCTGGCAGCTGCAGCTCTCTCCTTTTCATCAGGCAAAATTGGAAGCATAAATGGATCACTATACTCAGATGCACATGCTAGAGTTAAAGCTGGATCGAGGCAATTCATTAATATTGAAAAAAGAAGCATCCTGCTTGTTGCTGGGTGAACAGGAAGATAGCCAAACTTCTCCCCCAGACGGGTGAGTTTTTCATCAGGTGACAATGCTCCAATAATTTTGAGAACTGCAATAGCATTCTGTATAGACTCAAACACCGGTGGATTTAATGTCTTGCTCAGAAACTCTTCTATTTTTCTGCTTGGATCAAACAACTTTACCTGTCAATATAAAAGGAGAAAAGAGAACCAAATAACATGTGATAGAAATTTCCAATAATGTTAACATACAACTGAATTTGTTAACTCACTGGTGATATTTTTTTTATTGGATAGAATAAGAAACTGAAGTAGGGTAATACAGCAGTTGAGGATAACAAATCCCCATAAAAAAAGCAAGAACATGCAAAAATAAAACAGAAAGAGGAAAATCAAGAAAGCAAAGATCACCAATCTCACTTCATAATCTACCAAAGAGACCCGTTAAACAAACCATTGACTGAGTACCAAACTAAAAAAACTATCTATCTATGACACAAAGGTGATGCAGATCAAGAATATTGTCCTTAATACTGCTTGGATAACTGTATTGAGGGGAATGGCAAGAGAATGAGGAGAATAATCTCCAATGTTTGCGCTAGATATAAAAACCATTCACGTAACTTGACACAACAGCTTAAGTTTTAGGGATAGTAGTCTAGTTAGCATATTCTACCTTCCTTTTACACAAAAACAGTTATTGTCCAATGTGTCCAGTAAGGTAGTTATACGGCCCAGCCCTTAAAAGTGCATAAGAGGGATAAAAGGAGAAACATTTGGGCTAGAAACATTCAGGCTCCAAATGCTGACTCAGCACCATTACATCAGCATTCCCAAAATAGCCCCCAACAGAATGCAAGGCTGGAAGAATCAGGTGGTTAGGATGAAGTTGGTTAAGAGTGAGGAGAGTGGCTGAGGGAGGTGTCGAGAGGCATTTTCTGGATATGGGACCCTTGGGAGAGTGTGAGGCCTCTCCAATTGCTTCACAATTTCTTTCGTGTTCTTTCAATTTTTCCCTTCAGCATTTGGAGCCTGAAGGGCCAGCTTGGCTCAGCGGTAAGCTTGCTTGCCGTGGTGTGTCAGGTCGCGGGTTCGAATCAGCCTCTCTGCAAAAAGCAGGGGAAAGACTGCTTAGAGTATTCCCTTCCCCAGACACTCACGAAGTGGGTATTTGAACTGGGTCGGCCCTTTATATATATATATATATATATATATATATATATATATATATATAATCTGGTTCATCTAGGCCAAAAACTTGTGTGTTTCCTTTTTTATGTTCATCCTTTTACTGTTACTGGTGTTGGACCTTATCAGGTAGTCAAACTTCTATTCACACGTCCTAATAGTAAACCAAGGGAAAAGGAAACAAGAGAAGAAGGACTTCCATTTTAGTCAATCGGTTAGTAAAATTAGCATCCTAACACATGGACCAAGACAGATGGCATCATTCGGATTAAGTTTGAATCTTGTTCTCGTTTAGTAGGTTAAAAAAGGAGAATAGATCAAGATTCCTCGTAAAGTCAGTGGAAATTACAAGGATCGGTATAGTCATTAACAATAAATATAACTAGTTATATTAATTGCAGCCTTGGGATCATGCCCAACCAAGCTCTCATGCCATAGAATTTATCACAACTGCAACTTTGAATTTAGAAATTCCAATTCTCCCTTTTGCATGGTTTGGCAAGTTATCTACTTTCAATGAATAAACACACAGATCTCTTGGAGTAAAGATAAATGGAAAATTGTGGGAATGGTGGAATTATTGTGAATTTCGTGTAGCATAACAGGTCATTGACATTTTCTTACTTTTACATTTTTGGGGGATAGTAGACAATTTTATCATTTTATGGGGTATAAGAGAGGGCGAGCTTGGAGTAGCGGTAAGATTGTTCTTAATGACTGGAAGGTCACATGTTCGAGTCTGGGAACAACCTCTTTGCAAAAAATGCAAAGGTAAGGCTGTGTGCACCAGAGTTTGCCCTTTATTATGGGGTATAAGAATCACCAAGACAGAGTTACCGTTAAGGGAAGATGAATACCTGCAGGCAAAGCTCCTCAATAGGCATTCTCTTAATTTCAGGAACCCGAAATTTTGGCAAGGAAGCTGCTTGAAACTTTGAATAGAGATGATAGCAAATCCCAGGTTGACAGCGGCCAGCTAGTCCCTCTCGTTGCTTAGCACTTGCTTTTGAAATCCAAGATGATTGAAGAGTTAAAAGATTTTTATAAGGATCATAACTTTTTTCTTTTATACGCCCAGTGTCTATAACATACACTATATCATCAATGGTGACAGCATTTTCAGCAACATTGGTTGAAAGAACAATTTTGCGGCAACCATGAGGCGGGCGCATAAAAACCTTTTGCCCAATGGATGGAGCCATTGAATGCAGATATATGACCCTAAACTTTGCAGTATCATTGAAGAATGGGGATGCAAGCAATCTCTCATAAGTTCTACATATCTCATCCCAATCTGGAAGAAAAATAAGGATGCTTCCATCTTTTGAATCACTACATATTTTTCTTATCAGCTGCTCTATCAGAACAACATCAACAAGTTCAGAATCAACTGTTGCAAGATATTTATCGAGTAACTTCACCCCTTCCTCATTAGAAAAATCATTATCCATGTGCTTCTTCAGCATTTCAGCAGCTACTTGCTGTTTTTTTTTCTCAGCAATCTCCAGTGCTGTTGTTCCATCTTTGGCCCTCAAATGGCAGTTTGCCCCTAAGGATAAAAGCTTGCACACATCACTCACTTTACCTTTTCCAGCAAACACCATTAACGGAGTAAGGCCAGTTTTTGAATGCTGATAGTTGAAGACCTTTGGGCTACCTTCAGAATAAACAAACTCTATCAGCGGGCACCAGCTGTTATTAGACCAAGCCAAATTAATGGCTTTATCCAGATAAAGCTTCTCTTCCTGACTCAACTCATGGTTATTATCCAGATGATTATCTTCTCCGAATTTTACAATAGAAAGTACATCTTCCAAATAGTAAGTTTTGACCTGAAGACAGAACAGGTGGATATTGCAGTCGAATGTTATAAAGTGGTAGTTAATTCACAAAAGAATACTGTATAGGTACCCGATTTGTGAACCCAGGAACGTGGATAACTGGGCAGTCACCAAAATATTGGGAAAATCTTGCAGCATCAACAGTAGTACTCATTAGTACCTGTAATATTTTATAGCAACAGAAGGAGGGAAGATAAAGGTTAAATATTGGTAAAATATGAAATATTAAGTTATGAATTAAGTAATCACTTGACTGGACAAGAAAGAAACAGAAAATATTATATTTATAAAATACATTGAACTGACCAGGCGTAGATGGGGATATGAAGGGAGCATCTCTCTGCATATATGTTCAAAAAATCAGAGATATTAGACCAAAAACCAGAGAAACATCCCAGGTGAGTGATCATATATAAGAAACACATCCAAAAGCTTAAGATTTTAGGTAGAGATCCAATAATAATTTTATACATACTCCGTCACATTAGAGCTCTTCGGGCTTGAGGCATAAACAATGTAATTCCCTTCACCTTGAGCTAAGACTTAATTTAAATATGTAGAATGGGAGTAGTACAGATCAAACTCCTGACAACTTGTTCATAGAAGCTTTGATACTAAATTAAAGGCCAAGAATGATTTTGTATCAACGTTAACATCACATTTATCTCTGATATAATTTTCTAGGTTAGAGGGATGATGAAAAGTAGAAGTGTTTTTCTGAATAACACAATTTTCTTAATTCATTGAGAGACCCAATAGGTCCTTTTTATATTGAGTACAAAGAGCTATACTAATAAATAGCAACAGTAACCTAAAAGACTTATTTACAATATCAAGAGACACTAATAAATAAGGGAACAGATAGCAAGAAAGCAATAAATGATAAATGAAAATCTAGAATATTCTACACTCCCCCTCAAATTGGGAGATATATATTGATCATTCCTATTAGAGAATAGCTAGCTTACTGTAGCTTTCTGTTTTAGTTTACTATGCATCAGCTTAGTAGCTGATCATTGCTCTCTGTTAAAGCTTACTGTGCATCAGCTTAGTAGCTGATCACACCCTTGTATTAATTGGTTAATCAGCTCCTGATTCTAAGGAGTTAGTTAGATAGCTCATAACCACCTAGCTCATTGTATTAGGCTTAATCTGAAGGTCTATATAGTGACCTCGGTGTACATTCACAGTTAGTTTTTCAGATCAATAATATTCAGTTTCTCTTTCTCTCTCTCTCTCTCTCTCTCTCTCTAGTTCATCTTACTTTCGTTTATGGTATCAGAGCTCCAATCTTGGGGCCCTAATCCATTTCTTACTCTCATCCATGGCATCCGCTACACAAAGTTCTAATGATACTAGTTCTTCAGCTACACAAAATCCTTCGGGAGACTCCAAATCATCTATACTATTCAATACTCAAATGTCAGTAAAGCTATCTAGCAAAAATTTCCTCCTCTGGAAGCAAATCGTTGAACCTCCCATTATAGCACATCAACTTGAACGTTTCTTGGTTAATCCAAGAATTCCTGTGAAGTTTCTATCAGAAGAAGACAGAGTCGTTGAAAAAGTAAATCCAGAGTTCATCGAGTGGGAGAAAACGGATAAGATGCTTCTCACATGGCTGCAATCTACGCTATATGAAGAAATCATCAACAAAATCCTTGGTGTACGTCAGTCTCATCAGGCCTGGGACAAAACTAAAGCAAAAGCCAATCAAGTTAGTTCTGAATTACATAATATCAAGAAGGATGACAAAACTATCGAAGAGTATATAGCACGAGTCAAAGCACTTGGTGACGTCTTACTGGCCATAGGAGAACCACTCTCTGAACGTGAACTGGTACGCACTGTACTCGAAGGCTTACCTGAGGACTATGGTTCGTTCATTACCTACTTCAGAGGAAGAGAATCCAGCACGTTTGATGATCTCGAAACAGCTTCTAGCTCAAGAAGCTATGCTTGCAAAGTTCAACTCCAGCTCTTTGAGTCTCAACTCCGTCAACGTAGCTCACAATGCACCTCTGTTAGCCCCTATTTCAGGCGTTCAAGAACAGGGGAATCACAGACGACCTGAAACACTGCAACAAGGATCCTTTGGTCAAGGAATCAATGCAGGAGGATACTTTCCTCCATTCCGCGGTGGTTGGCGCGGTGGTCGTGGCCGGTATCGTGGTGGCAGAGGTGGTGGAAGGTTCACCGTCTCGTGTCAACTTTGCCGGAAACCAGGCCACGAAGCGGCTAACTGCTGGTGGAGATACAATTCCAACTTCACACCTCCACAGCAAACTCAATCACGGTTTCCGAGCACCACAGTACCACACACGAACTTTCCACCGAACTTTCCGGCGACAGCAAATCTCACTCTCTCTCAGATTCCAGCTCATCACAACAACTGGAATTCCTTCAACTCTGCTCCTGGTTCCCAATTCATGAACTCAGCAGCACCATCTTCTCATACAGCACCTCATTATACTGGATTCTCATCACAATCTGGAGCACCACGAGCACTTTCCACTTCCACCAATGGCCAGTTAGCTCTTGACTGGTATCCTGATTCGGGAGCATCACATCATGTCATTGCAGAACCTGCCAACTTGTTGCAATATCAACAGTATACTGAACCTGATCAGGTCTTTGTTGGGAACGGCCAAGGTTTACCTATTAACTCTGTTGGTTCAACTACATTTACTTCACCAGTTAATTCACACACTCTCTTACACTTACATAATCTTCTTCTTGTTCCCAAAATAACAAAGAATCTTATTAGTGTCAGTCAGTTTGCCAAGGACAATCATGTATTTTTTGAATTTCATCCTACTCACTGTTTTGTTAAATCACAGGAGACCCAGGAGGTCTTACTTGAAGGATCTCTTGGTCAAGATGGTCTCTATAAGTTCCAAGGACTTCGAGCACATACTTTAACCCCTCTGCCCAAGTCTCCTATCTGCAATTCTTTGTCCAGTAATACACAACTTTCTTCTTGTAATTCTGTATCAAAAAATAGTCCATGTAATAGTTACAATCTCCATTCTGATGTATCAAGGAGCACTTCTTCATATAGCCTATGGCATTGTAGGTTAGGACACCCTCATTTTGAGGCTGTAAAAAATGTACTTACACAATGTAATATCCCGTTTCATAATAAAAGTACATCTGATTTCTGTTCTGCTTGTTGTATTGAGAAATCTCATCGTTTACCTTCCTTTCCTTCATCAACTGATTATCCAGTACCCTTTACCCTTATATACAGTGACTTGTGGGGACCAGCCCCCATTCAATCATCACAGGGCTTTTTCTATTACATCACATTTGTTGATGTCACCACAAGGTTCACTTGGATATATCCTCTCGCAAGAAAAAGTCAGAAGCCTTAAATACTTTCAAACAGTTTCACACATTTGTACAAACTCAATTCCAACACACCATTAAATCTGTTCAATCTGATTGGGGAGGTGAATTTAGAACCTTCACCAAATTTCTTTCTGAATTAGGTGTTATTCATCGATTAATTTATCCTCACACTCACCATCAAAATGGTTTGGTTGAGCGCAAACATAGGCAGATAGTTGACATGGGCTTAACTCTTTTAGCTCATGCCACTCTTCCTTTGAAATATTGGGATCATGCCTTTGTCACTGCTGTCTACCTCATTAATAGGCTTCCTACCTCTTCTTTACATTTCTAAGTTCCTTACATAGAACTTTACAAAACACAACCTAACTATCCTTTCCTGCGCACCTTTGGATGTGCTTGTTTCCCTTTACTCAGACCATATAACAGAAACAAACTAGATTTCAGATCTCAAGAGTGTGTTTTCTTGGGGTACTCACCCAGCCACAAAGGTTATAAGTGCCTCAGTTCTGAAGGCAGAATCTACATCTCTAAGGATGTCATTTTTAATGAATTTCGTTTTCCATATTCCACTATTTTCCATACCACACCTTTAACTCCATCTACCACCTCCTTTTACTCTAGCACAATTATTCCCTGGTCTTTACCACAATCTAATCCTGCTGTACCTTCTCCTATTGCTTCTGATTCTGCCTCCAGTCATAATTCCTTCACCAATAATACTCCTACTTCTTCTTCCAGTCCTAACTCTACAAATTCTAGTGCTCCTGATACATCTCCAGTTGAGATTCACACTTTACCACATCCAGCTTCTCCATCTTCATCTCACTCCTCACTCTTGGCAACTCAGTCTCTTTCTCACACCTCCACTACTCCAAGTTCTCAAAATACTTCCTACACAAACACACCATCCACTGGTCATTCACAACACACTCCTTTCCCTTCCTCATCCTCCTCCCACCATCTTCTGGTTCTGAGTATTTACCTCCAGCACCACTAGGCACTTGTTCATCTCCACACAGCATTGTTACTCGTTCCAAAGGTCCTGCCCCTGAAATTCTGACCATCAACACTGAACCAACCAACACCAAACAAGCCTTGGCTGATCCCAAATGGGCACGAGCAATGCAACAAGAGTATGATGCACTCATTGCTACTGGAACTTGGCAATTACTTTCCCTGCCAGCCACTCGAAAACCCATTGGTTGCAAGTGGGTTTTTCGAATCAAAGAGAATCCGGATGGCACACTCAATAAGTACAAGGCTAGGCTTGTTGCCAAGGGCTTTCATCAACAGCTTGGCTTTGATTACAATGAGACTTTTTCACCGGTTGTGAAGCCCATTACAGTCAGAATCATCCTCACTTTGGCTTTATCTCATGGCTGGCCTCTTAAACAACTTGATGTCAATAATGTCTTTCTTAATGGAGAGCTCATTGAAGAAGTGTACATGTCTCAACCTCCAGGCTTTGAGGTTTGTGACAAATCTCTAGTTTGTAAGCTTAACAAGGCTCTTTATGGCCTAGAGTATGCTCCAAGGGCCTGGTTTGAAAAATTTTCAGCATCTCTTCATGATCTTGGATTTGTTTCTAGCAAATGTGATCCCTCTCTCTTTCTTCTTCGATCCAAAGGCATCTGCATCTATGTTATAGTCTATGTAGATGACATTATAATCACAGGGAATAATTCTGACTTCATTCAGCAGCTTACCAACCAGCTTAACTCCAAATTCGCTTTGAAACAACTTGGCAATCTGGATTAGTTTCTTGGCATTGAAGTGAAATCCCTCTCTGATGGCAGACTGATGTTATGCCAATCAAAATATATTAGAGATCTTCTCCACAAAGCTGGAATGGCTGAAGCTAAGGGCATCTCCTCTCCTATGCCAAGTGGCTGCAAGTTAAGTAAACATGGTTCTAACTACATCTCTGATCCTTCTCTTTACAGATCTGTTGTAGGAGCACTCCAATATGTTACTCTCACCAGGCCA